CTATTTAATCTTTGTTGTTAAACTTTCAGGAGGTAAAAGCTGTTACGTTAAGAATAGTTCATCCATTTACTGCTTCTTGCATGAATCTTGGTGAGGAAGCATGGCATTTCCCTTGGTTATGTTCATGTCAATATGTTGATTTTCTTTGTATGTGTATAAAACAATGGTTCATTCATGCCCCAAGTTAATAGTTTGGTTCAAGAATATCATAGCCGTTACAAGACCGACACAAATTTTCCCTTATTGACTAATAGAAAACGATTAGATATTTTCTTAAGTTAGTTTTAATGATTAGCGGGATTTCCTAATAGGTAACCACTTTCTTCAGGACTATTTTTTGGTGCTTTCGTTGCTAGTAATAGCTAATAGTATTGTATTGGGTGATACCCTTTTTTGCTTGAGCCCGACCGGGTTGGATCCGGTCCGGAGCAAGTCGGGGCCATCGAACCCGACCTGGATGCAAGGTAGAACGACGGCCACGTCTACAACCGAGGTCGAGTCATTTCGAGACCGTTACAGAGCTCGAAAGGAATCACCACCGGATGGAGAAACACACAAGGTCAGAAGCCGGGCTCGTAACGGATAACCAAGCGTCGCCGGATATCTCGCCCAAACGTGATTTTCTCAACCACTTCAGGCCATTAAGGCGTAATTACAGGGATCCACGATGTAATCAATTTACCTACCTTATTTTTACCCTTAATCAGAATGTATAAATGGGTATCTCTCTAAATTCTTGTGGGGCATCAAGCACAATTGTTCTAAGCAATATTATATTCTGCGATTATTTACTTTAACAGCAATTGTTGAGTCTTTATCTTTATTTTCCTCAACCTAAAAGCCTTTTGTATCTTTTAGTTCACGGATCCTTAAAACCCCATATAAATTCAATTGTTATCCGGATTCCAGGGTAAACAAGTATATTTTCTTCTGGAGTACGTTATTATCCTTTGACATGAGCAGAGTGCATTTGTAGGATAAATTTTAGGAAGAAAATTTAGCTACATCATGAGACTAAAGTAGGAGTACTAAAGACTAGGGTAATATAGGGGAAAGAGATCTGAGATTAAGCTTTGTTTAAGAGGGCCATGCTATTCTAAAATAGATAAAGTGCAGCTTTTGTCATCTGCATTTTGTATAGTTTGGATTTTTCTTAGAATTCTTAATTCATTCTATTTTATTTTTCGAAATTATAAAGTTATAAAAGTTTACAAATCACCAACTGAGAAATGAAAAGTCAACCAAGTGAGAGATGAAAATTCTAGTGTAACTCTATTGGTAAGCCATCAACCATCTATTGTTATGCTTTGGAAATTTGACATGTCGTAGTGAACCAATTCAAGCAAGGAATAGCTAATCCTTGTAGGAAAACAATATCAAGAGTTTGTCACACTTGCATTGTCTTATCACTACAACAAATTTGATTATCGGTGATACATTATTTTGTCACCTAAAATTCATATTTCGTCACAAAAGGTTTTTTGTGACGGATTTCTTTTTGTCAAACTTTTGTCCCTAAAACACCGTTACTAATAGTATGCAAAGACAACTTTGTGTTTCGTCACTAAATAAAGTTATATTAACTACAAAATTTTTTTTGTCTCCAAGTACGTAATATTTATGACGAACTTGTTTGTCATAAAAAGTGTAAAAAATTTGTAGTAAAAAACATTATATCGTCGCTAAAAAGGTCTTTAATACCGACAAATCCAATTTGTCACTAATTATAATTTTAATTAGTGACGATGATGATTGTCTTTAAAGCTATGCATAATTTGTAGTTAAAGGAATGTGATTTTGTCACTAAATGGTTATGATTTATGTACAAAAAAAAATCGTCTCTAAATAGATAAATAGCGACAAATTTGTTTGTCCGAGAAGGCAGCAATTCCGTAGTTGAAACTATTTTTGTGTCTCGACAAATGATACTATTAGTGATAAGACTAATTTGTCACCATATGTTGTCTTAATTAGCGATAATTTTAATTGTCATCAAATATTAATTAATTTGTAGTTAAAATATGTTTATATTATTATTATGAAGGCTATTTCCAGACAAATTATTTCATCACTAAATGTTATCAATTTTTGGGGAATGAAAATGTAGCAGTACGATTTAGATTCTGTAGATTAAAAAAAATATTTTGTGAGGAAAATGTGATTATCCTAAAATATATAAATATTTAAAGATAAAAAAATTTGTGACAAATTGTATATGTATTTAGTGCTCACAAAAATAAAAGAGAAACGTAATCTAAACATCCATACAAAATCAGATACTAATACATATGTAATTATTCTAAGAAAACATGTAAGTGCAAACTTATTGGGTAAATAAAGTGAAATACCTAAAATATAAAAAGTAATTGAAATGTGGGAACAATGGTAAACTAAAAAAGACAAGCATGTTGCTTCCTGTGCTAATGTAGCGTCCCTTATCTACGAACTTCCCAGACACTTTTTACACCTTCATATACCTGTATATACAAAAAAAAAAATTAATAAATACGTTTTAATTTCATGATTTAAAAATTATATCTTCAAACGGAAATCAAAAACTAACTTTAATTAGTGAAGCAACAATAATAAAATGAGAAATAGATAGTAACTTCTATACAAAATCATTAACTACACGAAGAAACAAAATGAAGGATAAAAAAGAAAGATTAAAAATAAAAATAAAACCCTAAATCAATAGAAATTTACCTCCTCATCAAAATAATATCAAGAATCCATTCCTTAAGCCATGAATCAAAGGCCCTCAATTATAGCAAAAGACGATTTTCACAGCAAAAACGTGTGGAGTTGCTCCTTGTGCTATTCAACACTTATATAGAAACTAATAGAGCCTTGGTAAATGTTGTTAGGAACTTTTATTAGGTAGAAATATTAAGGAGGTCAAAACTAGACAAGAGATCAGAGAAGTTGCCTTTACCTAGTTATGGATGCCGGCGAAGATAATGGCACCTTCTATGGTTGGATGTGGATGACCATCAGTTGGAATAATAGAAAGCAATTGGGAGAAAAAGAAGAAAAAGCAAAAAATATATACACGGATTTCTCTTATTTATTGGAGTCTATGTAGTTGTATTAGAATTGAATACCTCAAGTTTATCTTAGTGGAAGATTGTTGGTAGATTTATAGGGAGGAAATGGGTGAGAGAGGGAATTTTACATGAAAATATTCAATTATTTTACCTTCCCTCCATATCTTTCGTATAAAATTTCCATACTTATGCCTTCCTTAAATACTGAGATTATATCTAACTTTGTCGTTTGGTATATGAATTACTTCAACATTTTTTTAGTTATTTTATTCGGACAAAATGTGAGCACGTTGAAAACTAAATTTTGTATGATTGATATTATGTATGCACTTGACCAAGCTTAAATATGCAGCTATTTGTAGATATTAATTTTAAAGTCCCAAAAATTTATATACTTCCTCCGGTCTATTTTAATTTATTTTTTAAATATTTTCACGTATATTAACAAATTCACTTTTTAGCATTATCTAACAATAAAATTGACCATATTAACCTTAGTTTCTTCATTGCAAATATAACAAATACTCCTAGGTTCTTTACTTCAAAGAAAATTTTAAAATAAAATAATTAATTCTTTCTTGATATTTGAAAAAATTAAATATTATGCACCACAAAAGAAGGCAAAAAAAAATTCAGTTAAAGTCAACCGAAGGGGGTATATAAAATAGCTTAATTACAGGTTTAATAACGTAACTAAAATAATCTCATAAATGGGAGTACCAAGAATAAAGTTAGTTTAATGCATTGAGTACCAGTTACGTCCACTTAATTTGGAGCGTGACATTAATATTGAAGAATCTTTAAATAGATTAGATTGAGAAAAATTGTTTCTCACATTAATATAGCGATGGAATTATGGTCAGATAATTTGAAAAAATAATTCAAATTTTTGTTGTAAAAGCTGTTTACAAGATAAATATTTTATTTATTGCAATGGATTAGCTATGTATTTTCCATCATAATTTTAATATAATTAGTAGTGGCCAATAAATTTGCGCCAAGAAAATAATCAAGACTACGAATATTTTTTTTAGGTAAGTCAAATATTATTAATTCAAGGCAACAAGTTACATGAGTATATGGTTACCTCAGCCAATATCATCACTACTTCCTAACCCTTCTATACTACTTTTTCCTATTTTCCAAGTTTACATGATATATTTCAATGTTCCCCTGCCCTATACAAATTTGTATTGTAGGACATCCTTGAGTTTACCTACAGTTCTACTGTTACAAATGTAGACAATTTCTCTCACAATGCTTTGCCTATCTCTATACATCTTCTCAAAGATTCTATGATTTCTTTTCACCCATATGTTATACACTGTTTCAGCTAGAACCATTTTCATTAGTTGCCCTTCAGTTGTTTTCTTCTTTGCTTTCCCCATGAACCAACAGAGTGCTAGGTTCCATGTAGTAGCTGGTACTGGCATTTGTAACCATTTGAATATGTCATACCACAGTTCCATGACAATAGGACAATTATAGAACAAATGATGATGGTTCTCTGGTTGACATTTACAGAATACACAAGTAGTATCCACATTCATGTTCCATTTGCTCAGTCTGTCAGCCGTTAGCATCCTTTCTTGTATGATCAGCCACATATAAATTATAGATGTGGGTCTTACTAAATTGTTAAACATTATTGCTTTCCACTCTACCTTGTCTAATATGCCCAGTTGCAGCAGGTATATTTGCCTGATGATACTGCCTTTGCTCCCTTGTTTCGACTCTGCAGATCTGGTCCTTTGATAGTCAGTATTTTTTTAACCATCCAGCTAGCTTGCTTTGGTTCCTTGATACTCCATATAGGCTGCCCTTTTATATAATACATATGCACCCATTTGATCCACTATCTATCATTTTTTGAGGCTAGGTCCCATTGTAGTTTGAGGATAGCTGATTTGTTCCATTGCATCAGGTTTATAATATTCAAGCCCCCAGCACTCTTTGGTCTACATACTCTCTCCCAAAAGATCAATGCTCGTTTGGTTATTTCATTTGCTCCTGACCACATAAAACTCCTACAATAGGCTTCAATAGTTTTAATCACCTTGGTTGGTATCAGGAACATTTGGGACCAATAAGATTGGATACCAAACAGTACAGCTTTTATAAGTTGGATTCTCCCTGCATATGATAGTTTCTTAGCAGTCCAGGATGAAATTTTTGCAACAATCTTTTCAATCAAGGGTTGCCATTGAATTACCTTCATTTTCCTAGTAGTTAGAGGGACTCCTAGGTATTTGAAAGGTAGTTCACCTCTTACATAGCCCAACTGTTGCAAGATGTCTTCTTGTTCTGTGTCTGTTACCCCACCAAAGTAAACTGAGCTTTTACTTAGGTTAGCTTGGAGACCTGATGCTGCTGAAAAGCATTGTTGCAGCATTGCCACAGATTGCTTATCCCCCTTAGCAAATAATAACAGGTCATCTGCAAACTCAAGTGGGTAATGCCTAGTTTTTTTGCATTTTGGGTGGAAGCTGAATTGTTTCTTGTCCTTCAAATCTTTCAGAAGCCTACTGAAGTATTCCATGGCTATAGCAAATAGGAAGGGTGACATTGGATCACCCTATCTGAGACCCTTTGCTGCATGAAAAGGTTCAGCCAATTCACCATTGATCAATATAGAATAACTCACACTTTGGATACAAGTTGCTATCCATTGTGTGAATCTGTAAGGGAACCCCAATCCTTCCATAACCTGTAGGACATAGCTCCATTCCACACTATCATAGGCTTTTTGTAGGTCCACTTTGATCATGCATCTAGGTGAAATGTGTTTCCTTGAGTAGGTTCTAATCAGTTCATGTGCTAGAATAATATTGTCTGCACCTTTCCTTCCTGGTATAAAGTCAGCTTGTGCCTCATCAATTATGTAGTTCATCACTTTCTGCAGCCTGGATGCTAAGATCTTAGCAATAATTTTGTACAGAACTGAGCAACAGGATATAGGCCTATAATCTTTTATAGTAGCAGGATTAGAGAGTTTGGGCAACAAAGTAACAGTTGTGCAATTAATGACCCCGGGCAATATTCCTGTTTCAAAGAACTCTATAACAGCTCATACACATCTTCCTTCATTATATCCCATGCTTTCTTAAAGAATACTGCATTGTACCCATCTATCCTAGGAGCTTTATCATTTCCAATAGCCTGAATAGATTCATCAACTTCCTGCCTGGTTACAGCTTTAATCAACTCCATGGATTGTTGTTGGTTAAGTTGAGGTCCCTTCTTCATTGTTTGCATATTCACAGCAGGTAATTGGGCAGCAGCTTTCCCCATAAGTGATTTGTAAAATTCTACAATCTCTCTCTTGATACTCTTTGAATCTGTTAGCATATTACCATTCAAATCTTTTAGAGTTGTAATGTTTTTGTTGCAGGCTCTTTCTTTCATCACATCAAAGAAGTATTTATTATTTCCATCTCCTGTTCTGATCCATTGAGCTCTTGACTTTTGTTGGAGAATCTTTTCTTCAATGAGTGACCATTTCTCCTGTTTTTCTCTAGCAGCTTTTTCCATCATTCTTAATTGGTCAGTGTAGCCATTCTTCATCTCTTGTTGACATTCAATTATCTCCTTTCTTGCTTGCTCAATTTCCCTGTTGCACCTCTGAAGTTCCTGTTGTTTAAGCTCTTAAAATCTGCTTTCATTGCTTTCATTCTATTCCATATGGTTATCAGTTTGCATTGGTGTTATCTTCCTTTCCATCCTTTAATAACTATGCTTTGGAATGCCTCATGTTCAGCCCAAACATTTAAGAATCTAAATGGTACTTTTACAGACTTCCTTTGTTCAAACTTCAGAGACAATGGAGAATGATCTGATATAAATGGATCTCCCACTTCAACTGTTAGGTGTCCAAACTTCATCATCCATTCACTATTTCCTAGTGCTCTATCAATTCTGCTAATTACTCTTTCCACTCCCATTTGCCCATTAGACCAGGTGAAATAGTCCCCCCTCCAAGGAATATCAGTAGTCATGGTATCCAAGCAGAAATCTGCAAAGTCTTGAATATCAGCCAATGATACTTCCTGTCTTGAGATTCTATCTTGAGTAGTCTTAATTGCATTAAAATCACCCCATATGAGCCATGGTTGATTAATAGATTGAGCTAGAATCTTTAGTTTGTGCCACAGCCCTTTCCTTAAGTCTGCACTGTTATATCCACATGTCACAGTCATAGCACAACTCACATTAGTGCTAGTAACATTACAATGGATAAACTGTGCATCCTTAACAACTGTGTCCACCTGCCAAATGTTTGTATCATACATAATCCATATTCTACCATTAGCTGCTTGTTCATAGTTGTGCACCAGATCCCGATAATGAGCTATTTTAGGGACAATTACTGAAGCATTATGCTGCTTAACTCTAGTCTCTACAAATCCAGCTAGAGTGATGTGTTTGTCTTTGATATATTTAGCTAACTCTTTCTGTTTATGCCTTTGGTTTGCCCCCCTTATATTCCACATAAGCATTGTCATTTTTGATGATCATTTGTACCACCTCTATCTGGTGGTTGTCTATCCTCTTGTCCTCCTTCTAGAATCCCAAATGTATTTTGTGTAACAATAGAAAAGTTCATACCAGTTTGTGTATACCTGGAACTAGAAGCTCCCTCATTTTGCCCTTTGCTTTATTCTCTACCCCATTCTTCTGATTGTGCTCCTGAGTCTTTGTTATTGTTGTCCTGCTAGTTATAGGTGACTTATTGTGTTCCATAATCTGTGTTTGTTCCTTAAAAATTGTTACAGCTTGATCAGTTGTTTGCTGAGCTACATTTGTGTTCTGTGTCAGCTGTCCCTTGCTTCTCCACTCTTTGACTGGTTGCTGTGTCTTTCCATTTGGTTTCTGCATTTGTTTCCTTTGCATTTCCTCACTCTGTTTACACACATGCCCCATTTGTTGACATTCAGGGCAGAAATCAGGCTGCCATTCAAACCTCACTACTTGCTGGTGTATCTTACCCGATGGATCCCTTATTTTGACTTCATTTGGCAATGGTTTCGTAATATTAACTTCAATCAGCATCCTAACAAAGGATATTCTGGATTGTTTAGCTGTACATTCATCTGCAAATAATGGAACTCCAATTGCACTCCCTAGCCTACTAAGCGAATCCTTACTCCAGTAGGTCATAGGCAAGTTAGGAAAGGAGACCCATAGAGGTATCTCTTTCATAAACTTGGCGTCAAACTCAGCTTCTGGAGACCATTCTTTCAGAATGATTGGTCTATTGTTTATCGTGTATGGCCCACCATATAATACTTCCTTCAAATCTTCTTCTCCTGTAAACTTTGCTATGTAATATCCCTTGTCATGCCAGAATAGTTCAGAACATGTCGTAGTCCAGTTTTGGTTTATGTATCGCTTCATGTGATTATACCCAGGAATTTCCCCAATTACCGCAACAATCAATGAATGCTTCCATTTTTCAGCTTCCCTTGCTGTCTCCTTAGGATCTAGTTGAATAACCACATTTCCGTCAACAATCGTCGGTGGAATGTAAGACAGAGCAAGTCCATTTGAAGCCATTCTGTTCCTAGCAAACAAATTTGCCCATATCGGTGTTTCTGCATCTTTGTTTGAATCCGATCTCTGAGAATTTTCACTTGCATGAACATTTGTTTGTGTTTTTTCTATGTTCGTTACATTGAAGATGAAGGCATGCAATCATTTAGCATTTTACTCTTCCCATTATCAACTTTTGTTGTTCTTACTTCCTCAGTTACTTCTATGGAATTATTCATAGTAGAATTGTTACCATTCATTTCCGCCATTGATGTTGCCGCCGGAGTCGGTGTTTGTGATTTCCGAGAAATTACAGTAGTTGATGGAGATGAATTTGACGATAGTGAGCTGCCTAGTGCTAGAATTTGTGTTTTCCTTGGTCTTCCTGGTCCATTTCTTTTACCTCTCGCCATTGATAGCCACTTCCCCTGCCAAACGTAGCCCCCGCTTGGTGGAGATCGTCAATGGAGAAGAGGCGGTTGATACTCGTTTTGCGGTGTACAATCAATTAAGTTTCATTCAAATGGAACAAGACTACGAATATTATAAAAATGGTAGTATTTTATTTTAAATATTTTAAATATTACAATCTCTATGATTCCTCCAGCTCTTCTTTTTGAAGAATGTGAAATAATCTTAAGAATCTTTAAACTTGATTTTGAATCTATATGGTTTCCACGAACGAAAATCTTGAATTCAATTAACATATTAATTTTTACTCGTATTCCTTAAATCTTGATTTATTATTCGTTCTTGATTGTGAGCTTGATCTCTCAATTGCCTTGTATGATGCCCCTTCTTGCATTTTAACTAAGTACCTTTTATTTTTCTTTCTTTCTTTCTCTCTGGTTTATTCTTTCAAAATTTTCAAGGACATATTAAATTTTTATTTTTTAATTTGTCACCATAAAATTTTATATAATTAAATTAAATATGTATATAAAACTAGTAACAGTAGAGGATAAAACATATAATCATGCAATAAATTTTGACTGATCCCAAGTTTTTCGCACGAAGTATAGATATATCTAAATCGTAAAATAATATTATTTAGACAAAATAATTTTGAATCTATCGTTCCAAAAATATGATGGATTCGATGTTAAGAATATAAAGGTTGAACCCGTAAAACTTATATCCAAGAACTACCTCTTCATAATAGTGCATACATCTTCTTGAATTTCTGGATTCGCCCTAATAATAACAATCTCCAATGTAAATATAAAAAGAACATTAATCGGAATTATAATTTTGTCCAATATGACATATTATTTTTAAATTGATAAAAATAATAAAGGATAAATATATACCCCCTTATATAATTTTTAAAAAAATACCTTACATTCGCTTTCTCAACAAACGAAAATTATCTTGTAATATTGAAATTTAAGTAAGACGAAGACGAAATTAAATTAAAAAGTAACGCTGATTTTGGAATCTAAAGTTAGATTTATGACAGAGATTTTTTTATAAAATTGTGTTTGAAAAGCCACTTAGGAATATTTAGGTGTAATTGGGTATAATTATAAAATTTGACATGTTTGTCTAGCTAAGTAATAACTTGGTCAGTATGATTTTGAGTANCTTTTAACTACTATTTATTTACTTTTCGTTTTTTGTTCGTACGTAAGAACGCACAAACTAATACTAATTAATTCATTCTTACTCATGGTATGAGTTGGTAAAAAAATTAAATTCATAATTAAAAATTTTATTAATTATTTTAAATTAAGATATTATTTATTTGAAAGGTAGTCAAGATACGGATAATTTTTTCGATATTAGTTATCAATATATGATTATCTAATATTTTTATTTTTTTAAATACAATTTAAATACCTGATTATAAATAATATGTAGAATTTCTTATATGTTCATGTATTTATCATACATTAATGAGTTAGTAAAAAAACAGTTAATGCAATTTTGATGAATTAATTTGAGCAATAATATTATTTAATTGGAAGATACTTACTACCTTTACGATATTATTTATTAATTTATTTATATATTATTTAATATATTTCGGTAAGTTAATATAAAAAAATAATTATTAAACTATGTAATTACACTTGTCCACCAAACAGAACTATTAGAATTATATTGTTATTACATTTTGGCAAACAAATAGGCCATTGTAATTACTATATTATGTAATACATAGTGTGTAATTATTATCCTAGTAATTACATAGCTAGATAATTACACATGACTTTTTAAACAGGAACTAAAGAACCAAATTAATTAAATGGTCTGTCTCCCGATATGGAATTAAATAAATTTGATGCTTTCCAATAAGAACTTTGAATTGTGCTCAAAGTAGAAAAAAGTATTCCCAAATTTTTTAAGTAAAAGCGGGTTTTGAATTTCTCGAACTTGATAATTTTTATAAGATGGTTGTATCAATCACAAGTACAATTAGTCTTAAAATACTAATAAGCAGATGTATCTTGCATGAATAAACTTAGACTTATAGTTAAGTACGAAGTATGAGTTTATGATTTTTAACTACAAACTTTTTACGTAGCCAATATTTAGTGATAAAATATTATTGTGATTGAATATTAAGTTAAATAGAGACAATAAATTAATTGTCACTAATTGTTTGCACTATTAGTGACAAAAATTAAGGTCACAATTAATATAAAATTTTATCGCTAAATTTTAAAATCTTTAACTACGAATTCTAATTCGTCGCTATAGTAACAACATATTTTTTGTGACGAAAATTTTTCGTGTCCAAAATTTAACTAATTTTAAGACAAATAGTGGTTCGTCGCTAATTGAGCACATCATTAGTGACAAAATAAAACGTCATCAATAATTTTAAATTTGTGGCTAATAATTCTCAATAAATGGCGCCAACTCGGTTTTTGGTGGAAAACTTTAGTGGACGAAACTTTGCTACGAAATTTTATGTTTCGTCACTAAATGTATGTGGTTCATATATTTAAAGACGACTTATACTTTTTGTCACAAAAAGTGAATAATTAGTGACGAATTTTGTATTATAGCTAATAGTTTCGTAGCTAAATTTCATATTTGTTGTAGTGTATATTGTGGTTCTATTTATTGAATTGTCAACTAGCACCGGAAGGTAATGAATTTATTTATCCTTTTTTGTAGGTGGAGAAAATGATGAAAGGGAAGACGAAGAAAATGATGATCTTGACCTTACGAAGGATCTTTGAATTATTGCTGAAATGTTGCATGTTTTAGGAATATTTTGTTATGGAACATTTTGAAACTTATGCTAACTCTTGAATTGTAAAACTTATGCACTTTGATTTGAATATTTTGCTTTGGTGGATGTTACTCTATAGCTTGTTGGACCATGAGTATTTTGGATTGTATAAGTTTATGAGCAGTTTATTAGGTGACTTATATAAATTTTGGTGTATTAAAATTTATAATTGTGCAACAAGCCTACCAGAACCGTTGCAATAGGTATATAACAATAGATTGTATAAACCGTTGCAATAGGTCATGCAATCCGTTCCCATAGGATCTTTAACCAATACGATAGCTTTTGCTCAATTGTATGTAACTGTTGCAATATGAAAAACCGTAACAATAGCACTAGAAAACCGTTGTGATACATCTGAATAGCCGTTGCAATACCTTATATAAGTGTTGCATTAAAACTAGTGGTAACAGTTAGGAACCGTTGCAATAGAGGAAAATAAATGTTCCATCAGAAAGAGGAATAACCTTTACGATAGATGGTCCTATAGCAACAGTTATTACAACCGTTACATGAACCGTTGCCTTATAGCTATTGGCACACGACCTGGTGGAACGGTCTCTAAACCGTTGCACTTGATCAATGGCAACGGGCACTAGATCAATGGCAACGGTTTACATGTCAATTGCTACGGTTTTTCATGCGTTGCCATAGGCTGATTTTCCAATAGTGTTAGTTATGACAGTTGTACACAACTGTACAAATTAGCTTAGCAGTTAGTAGTTAATTGAGTTAGCTTAGTCTGAGCTTTGTATATAGTGGAGGCTCCACTCACTTTTCAGCTTAACGAATTCAATTGCAGAGTTCTGGAATGTTCTCTCATCTTCTCTCTCTTCCTTCCTCTCTGAGTTCTCATGGCGTGAAGGTTACAACTTCATCACCATTGAAGCTCAGCTTCAGACAATAGTGGAACTTCAATTACTGTTGCATTGAGTAATTCTGTTATGGTATCAGAGCTTGGAGTGTCGATTTTGGAGTCGATTCACACAATTTGTCAGTTCTCTTCCTGCTAATCACTTTTCAAACTAGATCACGTACATGCAACTTCATTTCTCCATGAATTTCGAGTTGTAATTTTTGAGAACAGGTTTCGTTCTTTCTCCTAATCTATAATTGGTTGAGAATTACTGTCAAAATTCCTAATTAGCTTGTTTTCTAGTTATCAAATCCCTTAGAAGTTCTGTAAATTGAAAATATGACTACTGGTGAGGACGATAATCAATCCACACCAAGTGTGAGTGAGTCTCTGAATCAGTCAGGTGTTGACACTCGTAGCCCTTTGTATATGCATCCATCTGATAATCCCGGGGCAGCCTTAGTCCCCGTTCCTTTTGATGGTTTTGGTTATCGATCATGGAGAAGAGGTGTGATGCGAGCATTATCTGTGAAGAACAAATTGGGATTTATCAACGGAGAATGTAAAAGACCAGATCTGGATTCATCAAAATTTCGCTTGTGGGAGAGATGTGATGATATGGTCACATCGTGGATCCTAAACTCTTTGACCAAAGAAATTGCAGACAGTGTAGAATATGTAGCTGATGCATTCGATTTGTGGAGAGAACTTGAGGATCGATATGACCAAACAAATGGGACAAATTTGTACCAAATTCAGAAAGAGATCAATGATCTATCTCAAGGATCCCTTGATATCACTAGTTATTACACAAAAATGAAAAAATTATGGGAGGAACTCAATACCTTGATTGCCAAATTTCATTGCACATGAAATTGTTCATGTGGAGCTAAGGAGAGTATGCATAAGGCTGAACAAGATAGGAGGCTCATACAATTCCTTATGGGATTGAATGAGACATATACTGTTGTTCGAGGAGGCATATTGATGATGAATCCACTTCCCTCAATAGCTCAAGCATTTTCCTTATTGATCCAAGAGGAAAGGCAGAGGAAAATTAAGCCAACTGGCCATTTAGCACTGGAGTCATCAGCCTTGAATGCCAACACAATCAGACCTGGGACATTTAGAACAAACTATTCTCCTAATAATCACCACAACAACAGAAATAGACCTTTCTGTGACTACTGTAAAAGGCCAGGTCACACCAAAGAAAAATTCTACAAACTTCATGGATACCCACAGAATTTTGGGCACAATCAGAATCCAAACACAGGACAAAACAGTTTCAATCAAAACATTAGGCAGAGTGCCAACTACAACTATAACTCAGTCAACAATAATAGTAACAGATTCAACAAAAACAACAAAATACTGGCTAATGCACATGTAGCAACTACTGATGCTCAACCTACAGAGAATGAAAAGTATGGTAGTCATGAAAACACTCAAAATGTGAGTCTCACTCAAGAGGAGTATAACCAGCTGGTGAATCTACTACAGCATTTTCAATCACCAGGCGCAGGAGACTATGGAGTTGGGACCATTCTACTTCAGGAGCAGCAAACTTTGCAGGTATGATAGCCTGTACTTCCTCAATTGACTTTGGTAAACTTTCATGTAAATGTATCAAAAACAAGGCTGATTCATGGATTATAGATTTAGGGGCATCAAATAACATGACCTTCAATAGATCCTTACTAACCAACATAATAAGCCTACCTTATCCCCTATTAGTTATTCTTTCAAATGGCTACAAAGTAAAAGTGACAGAAATAGGTAGTGTGATTCTGACTTCTAAGATCACTCTAGACAAAGTGATGTATGTTCCCACCTTCAGATACAATCTAATCTCAGTCCATTCTTTAGCATCTCATCTCAACTGCCTTGTTGCCTTTTTTAAAATTTGTTGTATATTGCAGGCCCTTCAATGAAGAGGCCTCTGGTGATTGGTAAAGTGAGAGATGGGCTGTACATCCTATGCCCAAGCTGTTTGAAGAAGAACCACACAAGCCTTGCTGAGAAGGACAATTCTGAAATTCCTTTCACTTCTACTTGTTGCACTTGTAACACACACTGTCCCTCTCATTATACTGTAGATATGCTAGTTCATACCAATAAGTGTGTACCCTTTCCAATTGTAAATAATCCATGTACAAGTGCTGAAGAACAAATTCCTTTTGAAAATTTATCTCCTGAGTTACCTAGTTTTTTCTCTCATTCTTGAGCTGAAAATAATGTGAATGTGTTATGGCATAATAGACTTGGACATGTCCCCTTTGTGAAAATGAAAAGGATTACCTCCATACCTGCCAATTTCTCCCCCAAACAACCTTTTAACTGCACTATTTGTCCTATGGCTAGACAAGAAAGACTGTCATTCCCTCAGAAAACCAGCACAACTAACAAAATTTTTGAACTTTTGCATGTTGATCTGTGGGGTCCATATCATATTCCTACACATGATAAACATAAATACTTTGTTACCATTGTAGATGATTATAGCAGATCTACTTGGACTCATCTCTTATCCAGCAAAAGCAATGCCATTGATATACTCAGAAACTTCATGAATCTGGTGGAAAACCAATTTGGTGTTACCATTAAGTCCTTAAGGTCAGATAATGGACTGGAATTTACCAGTAAAGAAGCAACCATGCTGTTTCAATCCAAAAGGATCATCCATCAAAGAACTTGTCCCTACACACCACAACAGAATGGTGTGGTGGAGAGAAAACACAAATACCTCCTTGAGACAACTAGAGCCCTCCTTTTTCAATCCAAACTACCTCTAAGATATTGGGGTGAATGTATCCTTTGTGCCACCTATATAATAAATAGATTACCATCCAATTCCATCAACAATAAGACACCATATGAGTTACTATATAAACAGAAACCAAAGTACTCTCATCTCAAGAGCTTTGGCTGCCTTTGTTACCCCACTGTTCCAATGCCACTCAGGGACAAGTTCAATTCCAGAACCACACCTCATGTCTTTGCTGGATATCCTTTTTACATAAAGGGGTACAAAGTTCTAAATCTAGCCACTAGAAAAATTCATATTTCCAGAGATGTAGTGTTTCATGAGTCCATCTTTCCTTTCAGTGTTAACATGAAAAAATCCTCTAAGTTACCTGTCTTTCATCCAATTCCCTTCTTAATGAACAACCTCCTGAGAATACAGACATCACACAAGTCCTTGAAGTCTAGAGTGGTCAAAGGAATGTAGAAAATACACCTATGTCTATGTCACCTGTACATGTAGCCAATCCTTTACCTCATGAATCCATGTCACCTGTGCATGTAACCAATCCTTTATCTCATGAGACACCTGGCCCTTCACCATACAATATACTATCACAACACAACACTGAACAGATCTACCCAACAAGACAATCACACAGAACTCCCAAACTCCCTACATACTTGCAAGACTATGTTCATTCTCTGCCTCAACTCAAAACTAATCCTACTTCCTTAAGTGCTTTGTTCTCTATGAATCATCACATTGCCTCGGATCTACTAACTCCTGATAGTTAGACTCTTGTGAGAAATATTTGTCATGACAGGGAACCATCATCATATGAGGAGACATCTATTGATCCTGCATAGCAAGCTGCCATGACACAGGAATTTGAGGCACTACACTCCAACCACACTTGGGATTTGGTGATGTTACCACTTGGAAAGAAAGCAATTGGTTGTAAGTGGGTATACAAGGTGAAACACAAAGCAGATGGCAGCATTGAGAGGTTCAAAGCCAGACTGGTTGTCAAAGGCTACACTCAACAGGCAGCGATAGACTACACAAAAACTTTCTCACCAGTTGTAAAAATGACAACAGTTAGGGCCCTGATAGCTACAACAGACAAGAAGGGTTGGTCTATCTCACAGCTGGATGTGAATAATGCTTTTCTGCATGGGGATCTCAATGAAGAGGTGTATATGCAGGCACCACCTGGACTGGTAATAGATAAGCCAGGCTTAGTCTGCAAACTAAACAAATCCCTCTATGGTCTAAAACAAGCAAGTAGACAATGGTATGCAAAACTAACTGAAGCACTATGCTCAAGGGGATACACACACTCCATGTATGACTATTCACTTTTCTATAAGAGGAATGGAAGTACCTCAATATATGTTGTTGTATATGTGGATGATGTGTTGCTAACTGGAACTGATCAACATAAGATTGCTCAACTCAAGATCTTCCTGCATGAGCAGTTCAAAATCAAGGATCTAGGTCAGCTTCACTATTTCCTAGGACTGGAGATCATGTATAAGGAAGATGGGGTCATTATATCACAGAGGAAATTTGCACTTGATTTGCTGAAGGAGTATGATTGTTTGGAACACAAGGCCTGCTCCTCACCCTTGGACCCAAATGTAAAATTGAAGGCCAAGGAGGGAACAATAATGCAGTATTCTACTTACTATAGGAAACTGGTAGGAAAACTGAATTTCCTAACTAATACTAGATTGGACATAACATATGGAGTTCAGCACTTGAGCCAGTTTATGCAGGAGCCCAGAGAGCCCCACTGAAGGCAGTATTTCATTTGTTGAGATACCTAAAGAGTGATCCTACCTTGGGGATTTTCATGTCAAAGGATGGGGACCATACAGTCAAAGCCTATTGTAATTCTGATTGGGCAGCCTGCCCAGATTCTAGAAGGTCTGTCAGTGGTTACCTAGTCTTGTTGGGCAACAGTCCTATCAGCTGGAAATCTAACAAACAAGAGACTATATCACTCTCTTCTGTAGAGGCAGAGTATAGAGCATTGAGAAAAGTTGTAGGAGAGTTGGTCTTATTGTGCAGGTTGATTGAAGAACTGACTGTGCCTTTCTCTTTACCTATTCAGTCTACTGTGGTAGCCAGTCTGCATTACACATTGCAAGGAATCCAGTGTTTCACGAGAGGACCAAGCATATATGGGGGTCGACTATTACTTTGTGCGTGATCAATTACAAGCAGGCTTGATCTCTCTTCATCATATAAGAACAGACAACCAACTCGCAGATGTTCTAACTAAGGCCGTGACAGGGATCAAACACAGTGCTACCTTGGGCAAGTTGGTTGTGTTAACTACACCTCCAACTTGAGGGGGGGGGGGGGGGAGTGTTAAGAACTATAATTATTTGTACTGAGTAGTTAGTTAGTTATGACAGCTGTACCAATTAGCTTAGCAGTTTGTAGTTAATTGAGTTAGCTTAGTCTGAGCTTTGTATATAGTGGAGGCTCCACTCACTTTTTAGCTCAACGAATTCAATTGCAGAGTTCTGGAATGTTCTCTCATCTTTTCTCTTTTCTCTTCTCTCTTTTCGTTCCTCTCTGAGTTCTCATGGCGTGAAGGTTACAACTTCATCATCATTGAAGCTCAGCTTCAGACAACAGTGGAACTTCAATTACTGTTGCATTGAGTAATCTGTTAACAATCTTTGATGATGCCTTCACAAAATCGAAATTCTGATTTGTACAATTCCTTTTCGATATCAAATTTCGAGCTTTTACATTTTTCTTTTTATATTATCAATCGATCAACATACAAACCTAAATGGTTTTCAAGTAGATTTAAATTACCTGATAATTAATGACTCAAACAATTTTGGGTAGATGCCACGTGGGCTAGGGGAGAAAGCTTTTGTGGAGTTGATATCTTATGCAATTAAAATTAACAATGTTTTAGTTGAGATCAAATTATCTATAACAAAGGAATCCTTAACTAAATTGACAAACTAAAAACTATCACCCAAGTGCGTAGCTTTTTAGTATTTCAATTTTTGAGTTGAATTCAAAGTCTGAATATTAGAAGAACTTTTAAATATTACAATTTTATCCAGTAAGTTATTTGTTTGTTTAAAAGACAACA